AATTGAAATTATGTTATTCATGATTTAGTTCAAGTCCCCATTAAACATTTTTAACAGTTTACATTCAAGTCACTTTAAAACAATTTTCGGAATTAAACTTGCTAACTATGGATTCACTCTTTTTAGATAATTCTACTAAAATTAATCTTAGGAGATAATATAATCAATATTTCTTTAGTAAATAAATTATTATTAACATACTTTGCAGCTATTGCGCAAGTAGTAGAATAACTCAATTTCGCACTAAGTGAATTTAAGATCATACAACATATATATATATATATTTTAACAAACATGTATATGTAAAAAAGCAAATTTAAAGTGAAAATAATTTTAAAATGATGAAATTAAAAATAAAAAATAATAATTAAAAAAATCACAAACATAAAAAGGTTTTTTTCGAACTAATCTACAATATCGTTTAAATTCAGATAGCATAAGTAAATCAAGTGCAAAACCAAAATATGAAAATAAATTCACTGATTTAGCAAATTAAAATTAATCTAAAAATTTTTTTTAAAAATGCATAAGTGAATGATTGTTGAACAGGCAGGAGACAGACTTATCAAGGGGAAGTTGACCTAACTCTTCAATCATTTAATTCGTGTTTCGTCATTCATGCAGGCAAGGATAAAAGTCAAAACCAAAAGTAAATACATAGTGAAGAATGTCCAAAAAAAAAAATACTAATAAAGTGGTACCTTGAGAAATTAGCAATTAAAAATTAAAGGTCTAAAAGGAAAATACCAATAATGAAGTTATGCATGGGTTAAAGCTTTTTTTTTTTTTAAATATATAAGAAGTAATAGATGCTACAGAAAAAAAAATTGATGGCATAGCAAATTATTTATATTAATTAGCATTTATTATGAAATAGAAAAACTGGCATTAGTTGTTTCTAACAAACAGTATAGCTTTATAGCTTCGGCAAGATCTTCTTTGTTGGAGGGCCATAGATCCATTTTGATAAACTTCAGAGCAGAGAAGAGTCTTTCCATACTAACTTGAGTAGGAGGAAAAGCTGTTACTGTTAGGGCTACTTCTTTTAACTTTTCAGGATAGATTTTTATAAGTTCTAAAAGAGGTGTCTTGCAAGCATAATCATATTTCTCTATTTCTTCCAAGGCCATGTAGAAATCTTGTTTGTACTTTTTCATTTTTATATCTAAAGCCTCTTGGTTCTTTATTTTCATTCGCTTTGCCTTTGCCTTTTCAATATTATCCACAAATATTTCTTAAAATCTAATTCATCACCAGAAGAGGATGATAGAGACGCAATTGCAATGTTTGCAGTTTGACTGTCCTGATTCAAATTCTCCAGTTGTTCTGAGAATAATTTTATTCTTAATGAAAGTTCATAGCTGACTTTCTTTTCCTTTTTAATTTGTTCGTCATCCAAGAAAATTCAGTGTTTTGGATCTACATATATTGAAACCAGCAAGATCTCACTGTCTAGCAAACTAGTTCCTATTTTCTTTATTGAAAAAATGATTCCTTTTGCAATAAACTCTCCATTTCAGAAAGAACAAACATCCCATTCTTCTATTCTCGCCTCCTGTCAATTCTTCAGATTGCAGCATTTTGTAGCTATATACGGTGTAGAAAGAAGAGTTTCCAATTCTACAAGATCATTCCACAGGCTTTCTGTTAGTGAAACATTAGGGTTATCTACGTCTTCTAAAAAAGTTCTGAATTCTAACAACCTCTATATCATCAAATATGCACTTTCCCATAGCATTGCTTGATCATAATTGCTCCTTTTCCTGCTCACTTCCTACGAATACCATCAATTTTATTTCCTACAAATACCATCAAAGTTCTTGCTACTATTCCTGCTTACCTAAATTTACCAGTGAGATTTGTAACTAAATGAATCAGTTTAATCATTAATGGGCAAATATCACATCCATCCTTATATTTATTTATTCATATGTCAATAAAATAGAAAATAACTATTTATTAATGTATACAGTTCGTAAATAAAAATAATAACTCAGCTTGTCATTAATTTTTTCAATTCATTTTAATTTCTTTTCAAACTGTGCAACAAAAACTGGAGTCGGAGTAGGCCTGTTTTTAGTGACTCCAGCTCCAACTCCTTTTACCCCAAAATCTGCCAGACTCCATGACTCCAACTCCACAGCCCTAGTTAAAAGACCCTTTATTATTCAAATAAGATTTAACAGAACTTTGTCTTAAAGTTGTACAATAAAGCCGACACTCGGGCTTGAACTTAGGAAACTAAGAATTAAACTAAACTAATCTTAACTAAAGAGATATAGTCGAAGCTATCAAAATTCTAACAGAGTTGGCCCCTTAACACTAATTGACTGTGAAGCTGTCAAGGGCCTAAAATACGGCCGAGCGTAATAATAGCTTACGAGAGAGTAGCCTAAAAAGGTGAACACATGCAAACCAAAATATCTGGTATCTCTCTCACTAGAACAGTAGAACTTCACGGTTAAATTCGCTCTTTTTCATTAGCATTCAGACGTGATTCTAAAACTACGTTCTGGCCAGAAGTTAAAATTAAGAAGCAATAGGAAAGGGAATTTAACTCAAAATTTAACTGTTAATAAAATTAACATAATCTTTACAACATTTCTAGAGAAGTACATTTTCAATATGAGCTACACATCATTATGTTCATAATCTATATCCATTCTTCATTATATTTGTAGCTTTTTACATTATTATGCTTATATGATTGATGAAAGAGAGGTTAGCAACAACATATTAATTAGTAAGGCCGCAGGCAAGAACATGGATTAATTTTAAAATGATGCATCTCAGAGCAATTTATTATAAGCAATTACTGTTTTTAGAATGGAAAGGGAAAATAACCAAATTAAAATAGAGAATTAAGGGACTATTACAAATTGAAGTTAGAATTTTTATTTACATATTTTTTATCTTAATACTTCTCCTCCCCTCCTTTTAAAGAGACTAAAAAATACTTAGCAATGGAAAAGCCTTTCAAGAGAAAAAGCATTAAAATGTTTGCAATGATAGATGCAATTTTAAAAGATTACAAAAGTGTGAAAGAGAAAAAAGATTTTCGAGGACATAGATTGTAGCTTTTACTATGCTGTTAATTTTGCTCTGTAACTCATTCACATAAGAATGAAACAAAATCATAAATTACAAGTGATATGAAAAATATGACACTATACAATATGTAAATGATAATCCAACTTAAAGGTTAGTGTTCTTTTTCTCTCAAAATACCATAAAACTGTCCCAGATTTGTTAAAAAAATAATCGTAAAAGTTCAGAGTTCTTGAAAATCATGAATCTCATTATGTAAGTTTTCTAGACCTCTTTTTATAATTCAATTCTTTTATCAAATATCATGTTCAGTACAAAATCTAAAAACTTTGTTTGACTAAATTTTTATCAAAATAGTTAGTTATTTCTTATGAAACCATTTATATTTGCTATATTAAAGATTTATAAAACAGACTTGCATAGTAAAATAATATAATATGATAAAAAGTTCCCAAACAAACTAACATTAAACATTTTAATATCATTTAAAATTTTGTATAAAGCCAATAAATTTTTAAAAAGACATTAATTTAAGAATTTAGTATGATTTCATGGTTCAACATCCCGATTCGCGGGTTTATATCGCGTGACCCCAAGTGATCTCATCTCATGTAAACTACACTACAAAAATCTAATTCTCTCGGTAATTATCTACATTAATTTCAAATTAAATTTTAATTTGGAATACAAGTTTAAATGCAAGAATTATTTCATTTCATACAAATAGCTTACTCAGAAATCATTAAAACCTCGCTAGTGCATTCTCATTAGAATTAATGAATTTAACCCTTGACTTTGCCTATTCTATATTTCCGCCTTCGGTGAGCAGTGTGATTGCATCCTAATTGACTTAATTACTGTGAATAGCCTTAGGGCATAAAGTTGAACTATCTGGTAAAAATTCTATGTAATTGTGTGCCATTAATGAAAGAAACAATCAATGTGATAAGAAATGGCTGCGACTTGTTTTGAAAATGAGGCATAAAAGGTTACCAGCGAGGATATTCCATTTGGCATCAGTTGTACCATTATTGGCAACTTTATCGCCTGAGCCAACAAAAGGGAAAAGTATCGAAAATTCAAATATTACATAAATTTAAGATTAATAACCTGTGCATTTATGTATATATATATACCCTGTTAAGTTTTATAAACTTGGTAAATAAAAACCGTACATTACTTGACAATAATAAAAAAAAAATTTTTTTTTAAAGCTATTAGGAGTGTAGCTACGGGAAAAAGAATAGTACTCTTCCTAATTCAGTCCTTAGGAAGAGTACATATTCTTTTCCATCTCGGTGATTCATGCCAGCAGCATGAATCACCCAGTCACACTACAAATAAATAAAAATTATCTGAGTATCTGATATTCAGGCCAGACTGTAAACATTGGTTCACAGTTTTTTCTCAGCTCATCTACCACTTTGGGGAATGTACATGATAAATTTCAAATGGAAAAAACTGATAAGAAGGAAAGGGAAAGATTTAAAAAAAAAAATTAAAATGGAAAGTTAAAGTATTGCAATTGTCATTGGTGAAAAATTTAGCTGTTCCTGCTGATGATTGGAAACCATATCGTGTTTGTTGTATACAGTTTTTTGGTAAAATTTTTGAGGTATTTAAAAAGGTCTTTAATATTTTTATTTATATCTGATGAACTTTATGAACTTTATTTATATCTGATGAACTTGATGGTCTTTAATATTTTTATTTATATCTGATTTATATCATATTTAAATCTGATGAACCAAAGTTCTACCACTATTCATACACCAATGATCCAAAGAATTATTATTAGAAAAAATGTTTTCATATATCATCACCAAGGAACAGAAATTCAATTAAAACCAAGAATTATTACAAGAAAAAAAAAATTTTTAGTCAGTATTTTAATTAGTATTTTCTAGACCTCTATTATATATATAGCATAACTGCATATATATTTTTTGTAGTTATGTTCTGCATTGTGAAATTCCTTGATTTTCAAGAAGAAAATGAAGCAGAGATAGTGCCTACATCATGGCTAAATGAAGACCAGTCTTTTTGTTTCTGGCCACCAGCAAAAACTACTTTTGGAGTAATGTCATTGGTGAAAAATTTAGCTGTTCCTGCTGATGACTGGAAACCATATCGTGTTTGTTGTATACAGTTTTTTGGTAAAATTTTTGAAGTATTTAAAAAGGTCTTTAATATTTTTATTTATATTTTATTGAAGAAATACCAAATTTTTTGTTTTTCCTCCCTTCAGATACGTATGCAGAAGCACGTACAAAACTGTATGATGCTGAAATGCTTTCACATTTTAAAGAAACAGATGCAATGAGAAAGCTGCATTATAGACCTGGAAAGAAAAGGCAACATAAAGAATTAGAAACTTCAGATATAGAATTAGGAAATCTGATGAACCAAAGTTCTACCACTATTCATACACCACTGATCCAAAGAATCACTATAGTATCTTCATCTTCAGAACAAAATGACGTATCTGATTTTAAATCTTCACAGGATCTGAGATCTGATGGTAATATACAGGAAAGTAACCAATGCAAGAAGATTAGTTATAAGGCAGAATATATAAGATATCTATGTTAGACCTCCCAAGTCTCAAATTGTAACTAATATCGTTTATGAACCACGACATTCAAATTATCCAAATGAAATGTAACAGCTGTAAGCTTCTCTAAAAAATGTGTGCAGTTCATGTGTACTCCCTTATCAACATTCATTACATCAGTTCAAAACTTTAGTCTATGTACCATGTCCTATTTTGTTATCATACTGATTGAAGATACAGCACTAGAAATGCAATTTTTCTGACATGCAGTAGTTGGATCAACTTTATCCTTTGTATAACCATACATGAAAAATTCAGTGCATATAAGATATTGTCGTAGAATCAAGGCGATTTGTCCTCCAAAGCTGATAAATCATTCGGACAGAATTGTTAACAACTGCTCCGATATGTATGAATATTTTAAAAAAAATTTGGGCAAAATTTTTTTGAAGTACCTAAACATTGTATGTTTCTGCTTATAATTTTTTAGTATTCTTTTTAACTTGGGAGGTCTAATCTGGATATACTGTATTTTTTAGTACATGAATGTTTGATGTTTATTATCTGTCCATATATTTATATCAATTAATTTTTAATAATATCCAGATAAGATTGTTTAACTTTTTGAATTGCTGTTACAGTTAAGTGACAATTTTCTGTACATTTTATTAGATAAAATTATTTTCCACTGTTACTTTGTTTAATGGTATAAAAAGTGGTTGTATGGTTTGCAGATAAGGAAAAACTAAATTTTTTTTTAAACTAAAATAATAAATATAAAGCAAATATATAGTATTTCACAAATGATTGTAAGTATTGCCATCCAGTACGTTATGTAATATTTCTGCATAGGTGTGAAATTAATTAATTTATAAAGGAAGTAGTAGTACTAATAACACATGGCCTGTCCAGGAAGTATGTTGGCAAAATGCACAAAACTCTAATTGATTTTATTCAGATATCTCAGCACGTTTACTTTCAAAATAGTTATCTCTTCTCTTAATATGCATTAACCAATGTGGTTTGATTTGTTTGAAGCAGTCTGCAAATGTATTTAAGTTCTTCATCTGCTTTGCTCATTTAGGTCCGAATGTTTTTTATGTTTCTAAAATGTTGCTCATGCAATTTCATTTTCGTTTTGGAAAGAGAAAAATTTCTTGAGAAAGTCAGATATTTAGATGGGAGGATGTTCACAGACAATGATTGAGTTACAGGCTAAGAGTTCATGAACAAGCAATGCTGTATACAATGCCATCTTATGATGTAAAGTGCATTCTCTCCCTTCCAAACACTACTGCTGCTCACATCTATACAAAATCTTGCAATTGAAGCTATTTGTAGCTGTATTTACAGACTGCCTTACTGGGATGGATTCCATGCACCATTCTCTAAATGCCGAGAGAAAAAAGCTATCATTGTTTAGATTTAGGAATTGATTTTTTCAAGGTTCATTTATTTGTGCAGAAGGTTCTTGAAATTCTTTCATTTTCTACTCTTTACATTGTGATTCCAGTACCACTTGTATTGACTTATCATTCCTAATCAATTTTTCGAAAAAATTATGATTTGGACAATTAGTGCAGCCCTCTTTCTATTTCGACGACAGCTTTGATTCATCAGGTTGGGTAGTTTTTTTTTTTTTTTTTTTTTCTTGGGCTTTATGAATAATAGAATGTTTATTGGTATAAAGTATTTCATTTGCATTAACCCAATATACAACAAGTAATAGGTAGTAAATCAAAGGCAGTATATTATCTTGTAATAATAGGTAAGAAATCACTTATTTCATGTACATTGTAAAAGAGTCACTTAAAGGGTGATTTTTTTTCATTACGGCATATGCATTAAAGCACATGAAGTTATTTAACCACTTGTGCTAAAAACATAGCATCTCGACGTGCCACGCATTTCGAGATGCTTTTGTCTCAAACCGTGTGCAAAAATGAAAATAATGTGGTGCACATGTCGCCTAACAACAAGATTGTTTATTTCTCGAGTTACAGCTCTGGATTGCACTTGGTGTAAATGAGTATTATATCGCTTGTTATATTGTAGCGCATGGCACCGTAACTGTGAAGTTTAGTCGTCGTGCAAGTGGTTAATGGTTTAAAAAAAAATTTAGTAAATTATTTTTCATTAATTTAAAATGACAGTATTTAATTTTATTTGTAAATATTAGATGCATATTCATAGTTAATTTAACCTTAGTATAAGATTAAATGTGCTTTCCTTAAAATAAATTCATTTTTATTATAAATTAAAATTTAAAAGCTTGTTACTGATTATATTTTAGGGGAAATATTTGCATGCATAATTTATTTATTATATTAAAGATGTTTCATTTCAGTAATGGATGGTTTAAATAAATTTAAGGTTATGGAAAATATTTTCATAGAGATATATTTTTTTTTTCCTTTATGAGGTCACATTTATAAAATTCTGATTTATGCACATGTCTGAAAACCTTTTGCCATAATTTCTTATTTACTACTATTCTCATAATAAGAATAATGTAATACAGTCAAAAGTCGTTAATCCGGACTCGTCGGGACTTCGGCGATTCCGTATTATCGATTTTTCCGGATTATAGATCATCAGTTTAAACTGGTAAGATGGCATGCAGAAATTATAAAATTAAAAATATGAAACCGTAATTTATGAAATAAAGAATAATTATGATCTAAAGGGTATCAAAATTTAAAAAAAAAAGCTTAATATTTATTTGTTTACTTATTAAACATTTCTTTCAATGTAAGTTGTTTAAGTTTTCTTTGTTTTTTATGTGATAATACTTTTCTCTTTAATCCTATAAAACAGACATAATTTCTTGTTCAGTTACAAAGTTCCGCTGTTCAAGTCCTATAATTGCTGTGTTGAGAATACCGACTAATTTGTCAATCGAAATTCTTTCGTATCGAAGGAAGTGACCACTGTGTCACTTTCTTCGCTATCGGAAGCGAATTATAATGAAGAGGAATTTGATTTAAATCATATCAAAGACAGAGTACATCGAGATGAAATACTACATTTAGTAAGGAATTATAAGCCAAATAAAATAAAAACATCTGCCCTGAAGATAAGGATAGTGCTGACAGATCAACTTCCAGTTCATTGTGCGCCCCGACGTCCCCCCCCCCCCCGCATGCAGAGCAGCGTGAAATTGATAAACAGATTTCGGAATGGTTAGATAAACAAATCCATTATCCTTTATCCATTTATTGCAGCAATTCCTCTTAAGCATTTGTTTAATGGACTTCAAAATATACTTTCGCTTTGTAGATCCTTTACATATTAGTGAATATATATCGGAAATTCTATTTGACATAATCGAAAGTTCAAGCTTACTTTTATAAAATTGCTCTAACAGTCTTCAAAAAATAATAAGCCGGATCCAATTCGAAGATTAAGGAACAACGCGATCTGCAACATTAACTGAATTAGATAATTTTAGCTTAGCTTATACTGTCCGTCAGGGGCATAGCTAGAGTTTCATGCGCCCGGGGACAATTGAAGAATTTGCGACCCTTTCTGTGTGCCAAGAATATAAAACGTTTCATTAAAAAATTTCGTAGCATGAATTCGGCGCCCCTTGAACGCTGCGTTGAACGCTGCGCCCGGGGACAGATGTCCCCCCTTGCCTCACCCTAGCTATGCCACTGCTGTCCGTTATACATTAAACGCGCATGCGTAAACGTATTTTGGGCATGCGCACACTCATATTCGTGCCGTAAAAGTGTTATGCGCAAAAAGTCTGTAGCTTTGAGGTCCGGATTATGGGTGTCCGAATTAACGACTTTTGACTGTATTTACAATAAACAGTTTCATTCTGAGATTACTATTTAAAAATGTAGGCATGGAAAAATTAAAAGAATTCCATTTCTTGTAATTCTCAAACATACTAAAAATTATCAGTAATTAGGAATATTTAGTTTCTATATGCGTATTGGAGGGAAGGGTCTATATGCGTATTGGAGGGAAGGGTTTCTTTGATGGATTTATCAATACTTCTTAATTTTTCTATTATCCCATAGAAAAGTTTTCCATACAATCGAAAGAAATTAAAGAATAAAAGGACAATTTATAGCCCAGACAGGTAATTTGGCCAGAAGAGCTATTAATTTCATTTTGGCACTTTGCGTTGTCTGCTATAAAATGGCGTTTTGCTTTTAAAATTGTTGCCACCAAATAGTGAGCCCTGCATTATATTTAAAGAGATTAAATATTGAAAAATCTTCATGAATGTATGTATGTTTCTGGCATTGTGAAAAAACAACGGTACCTATAGACATTAAATTTTGAATAATGTAGTCCTCCACTCGAATATGGGCATCTGGATACCCAAATTTGGAATTCGATTTATTATCTATTTCATATTTTTGTAAAACTTTTAACAAATTTTTTATTAACAAACTCAACAAGTTCAAAGCGAGCAATGGCAACACTGTACAGGGGAAGGTGGAACATTTTTATTTCCAGTGCGCAAGATTGTATATCACAAATTCTAAAGATATGCTCTTGTTAAATTATTTTGTGATATTGCTGTTGAATTGAATTTTATGGTTTAAGTGCGAAGAACATGATATTTAATAAATAAAGGTAACATGCAGAACTTTAAAAAAATGCCTCTTTGAGTGCAATATAAATTCTGAAAGCTTTCAGATTTTTTTAAATTAATAATATCTTTTATAGAGATTTTTCTTAGCCTAAAGGGCATTAGCTCAGAAGGGCTATTAATTTCGCTTTGGCATTTTGTTCACTGTAAGTGTCGTTTCACTTTTGAAATTGTTGCCACCAAATATTAAAGTCCTATGTTATATTTTAAAGAAATTAAATAATGAAGAATCCGTGTAAATGTATATATGTTTCTCACATTGTGATAGAACAAAGGTACTTAGAGTCCTCAAATTATGAATAACGTAATCGTTCATTGAATATGGGCATCTGGAATCCCAAATTTGGAATTTGAAATTTGTTTTCTAAAGATATTCTCATTTTAAAATTACTTTGTCATATTTCTGTTGAATTGAATTTTATGGTTTAAATGTGAAGAACATTATGTTTAATAAATAAAGGTGGCACACAAAACATTAAAAAAACCACCCCTTTGGGGCATAATGTAAAATCTGAAAGGCTTCAGACTTTTTTTTTTTTTTTTTTTTTTTTTTTTTGCGTGTGTGTGTGTGTGTGTATGTGTGAGAAACAACATAGTAAGAGTTCTGTATGCAAAGAATATATCTGTTAGACTAGTTAATTTTGATAAGCAAAGGACTGAAATAGAATGACATATTTAAAAACCTTTTTATTGATAAAACTTATTTTGAAAACAAAAACATTGTTATGAAAAATAAGAACAGCACTTTTGATTTAAAGTGTCCATTAGTCATGAACATTATCAAGATATGTTTGTACAGGTTCTTATCTTTATACCAGTGTATGCACATGAATTTACATCAGTAAGAATCAAATAATGTATTGCTTGTACCACAGTACTGTTTCTTAGTAGGTGCTTATGTCATCCTGTACAAAATGTTTTGATGAATATTGTCCTACAGTGAAATTGATCATGAAGGATCTAATTTAATATGAATCTCTGAGAATTTTCTTTTTCTATTTTTTCCTTCTCCCCCCCCCTTTCTGTTAATTTGCTTTAAATAACATTCATTCTCGAATGAGTATGTGCAGTTCAGCAACAAATATGTATCAGTAGTTGCCTAGAGAGTTAAGTTTACCATCTTTAAAGGTCTGTTGAGTAAAGCATCAAAATATTACTAACTTTTTTTTAAATACTAGAAAAATGTTCAAGTATTATTTTATATTATAGGTCATGAATCACTTTGCTGCCCATGTCATAAGACACTGACAAACATACTTCAGAAGATTCAGTCTGAAATCTCAGAGCACACAGAGATTTTAAATGCCTTATTAGCAACAAATAAAGATGCAGTAATAAAATGTGCTCCAAAAAATCTTCCAGTAGACTTGCCAACTTCATCCATAAATGACTTGGAAGTTCTGGATCGCTATCTATCAGATGAAGCATCATTTAATGCCTGTGTAAGTCATTTTAAATATCTTGTTATCATTTGAAAAATTTGCATTAATATTTTTCAGCCAGTGATTTTTTGTTCATTTGATATACAATAGTTTTTTTTTTTTTTTTTTTTTTTTTTTTTTAAATTTTGCCTCAACTGTTAAATAGTTATTTTTATATAAATAAATATTATGTCATCCCAAAAATATTGGAAGTTTTTTACTGTAAATATTTAAGAAGCAATATGGGAAGGATAGAAAATTTTATCAAATTACATTGCACTATTTTATTCAACTTTTCTAGTGTCTCTCTGAGAATTGAAAATTTTCTTGTCAAAGAAAGCTTTTGATTTATTCATAGAGCAGTTATCAAAATGTTGTTTGACATTCTGCAAAAGAAATGAACTCCAGGCCATTCAGAAAATTTTGAAATGACCTAATAAATTTAAATCTGATGGGCCAATGTTAGTTGAATATGATCAGGGAACCAAAATGTTCCAGCTGTACTCAGTTAGTGTCTCAACTAAGCTTTCATTGAAACTAAGCTGGGCATGGATGTGATGAAATATAACTTCTGATGAATTGGTTATTTCTGGTTTCTTTGTCTCATTTCTGCTTTTAGAACTGCCATCTTCAATGAGTATCTCTTTTAATTGATGATCTGATTAGATGGCAACAGCTGATAATAAATTACTGTTTTTATAGTCCAGTTATATACCAAGCATCAGTCACTTTCTTGAAATGAAGTTAACCTCTGGAAGTCTCTGAAAGAGGTTCATTTGATTCATCTGATAATCTTTTTCTTGTAACACGATTATATAATACTTCTGATATCCAATGATCAGCCTTAAAAAAAAGGAGTTCTTTCACTTCATTTCAAAATACAGTTGCATGCTGAAATTTTAGCAGGCATATTCTTGCCATATCAGAGTGGGTGTCTGCACATTATACAGTCAAAAGTCATTAATTCGGACACCCATAATCCGGAATGATCTATAATCTGGACCTTAAAGCTACAAACTTTATGTGCATGCGTCGTTTTGACGCATGCGCGTAAGACCTTTATGGCTGCGAATATGCGTGTGCGCATGTGCAAAATATGTTTACGAATGCGCGTTTAATGTATAACGGACGGTTTAAGCTAAGCTAAAATTATCTAATTCAGTTAATGTTGCAGATCGCGTTGTTCCTTAATCTTCGAATTGGATTCGGCTTATTATTTTTTGCAGACTGTTAGAGCAATTTTATAAAAGTAAGCTTGAACTTTCGATTATGTCAAATAGAATTTCCGATATATATTTACTAATATGTAAAGGATCTACAAAGCGAAAGTATGTTTCGAAGTCCATTAAACAAATGCTTGCAATGTGGAATTGCTGCAATAAATGAATAAAGGGTAATGGATTTGTTTATCTAACCATTCCAAAATCTGTTTATCAATTTCACGCTGCTCTGCGTGTGTGTGGGGGGGGGGACATTGGGACGCACAATGAACTGGAAGTTGATCTGTCAGCACTATCCTTATCTTCAGGGCACATGTTTTTATTTTATTTGGCTTATAATTCCTTACTAAATGTAGTATTTCATCTCGATGTACTCTGTCTTTGATATGATTTAAATCAAATTCCTCTTCATTATAATTCGCTTCCGATAGCGAAGAAAGTGACACAGCGGTCACTTCCTTCGATACGAAAGAATTTCGATTGACAAATTAGTCAGTATTCTCAACACAGCAATTATAGGACTTGAACAGCGGAACTTTGTAACTGAACAAGAAATTATGTCTGTTTATAGGATTAAAGAAAAAGTATTATCACATAAAAAACAAAGCAACTTAAACAACTTACATTGAAAGAAATGTTTAATAAAGTAAACAAATAAATATTAAGCTTTTTTTTATAAATTTTGATACCCTTTAGATCATAATTGTTCTTTATTTCATAAATTAAGGTTTCATATTTTTAATTTTATAATTTCTGCATGCCATCTTACCAGATTTAACTGATGATCTATAATCCGGAAAAATCGATAATACGGAATCACCGAAGTCCAGAGAGTCCGGATTAACGACTTTTGACTGTAGTGGCTTATGTAGCCAAGTTTTAGAACAAACATTTTTCGTGAAGTTTTTCAGTTACAGAATAGATATTCCATTCTACATGTAGTTTTTTGCAAAAATACTCAAACAATTTTTTTCTTATTGTGTAAAAATGGGCTAAAAAAGACTGAATGGAAAGAATATTTTTGTCATTGAGATTGCATATAATCAGTTTGGAATGCATTTTACATTGTCTGAAAAATTGTCAAACTTTTGCTTATCAGATATGGGTAAGTCTTCCTAGGTTTAGAAAATTAATATTATTGTTTTTTTTTTAAAAAGTCTAAAAGTTCCTTATACTGTTTTATCACTTCAGTTATCATAAAGCAAAGTATATATAAAAAGGATTGTAATTTATATCTGCCTTCTGCGTCATTCCTATTTTAAAAAATTCTATTCAGATTTTATTATTTTTTTAGCACTTTATTTCACATGTTATACAAGTAAATTAGTTCAGATAGTTGAATATCCAATATAATGACTGTTGCGTAACTGCTCTCGTACAGTAATATTATTTGATATCCTGTTTAACATTTTTATTTTAGTTTAATATTTTGGAAACAATGTTGTTAAAAATTTGATAGCAACTGTTAAGAAAAAAACGTTTTCTTTTTGAGTTGATGGAATTCAGATAATGTCCCTTTTTCTTTAGCTGAGAGTAAAAGGAGATAAAATTCTTTCTATGTAAATAAATCACTGCGTTGATGTTGAGAAAATTCTTGTTCCTTTCAAGAAGAAGCACATTAAATTTTACAGATAAGTGAACTATTTCCTTTGCATTTCATTAAGTAAAATACATTGATTATTACAGGTCCATAGATGGTAAATTTAAATTATCCGAACAATTATGTTAATTTTATTTATATTTTTATTTTTTTCCCTTTAACTATGACCTTTGCTGCTTACCCAGATAATTATTTTCCTAATTTTAATTAAAAGATGTAACTAAAATTTGTTACAAATTTCTCAATTTTTATTAATAATTATTTTTACAGGTATCATATTTTACAGTATATGGTGGACCAACATTGACACATGTTGTAAAAAATATTTTAAAGCACATTTTGACAGATGAACTTGCGAAAGAACATAACATGAAAGGTAGAGGGGAAAAGAAAGCATTTGAAAGTTATTCAAACATGTGCACAATGATATATTGTAAGTTTGGCTGTATGAAGTTTATCTTTAAGAAATGAAGAATTAAGTATATCTAAAACTAAGATAGTTTTTAAATTAATCAAAATAATTCTAATCTTTTATTTTTAGTTCCATTTATTCGAATATAAGAAATTTCCTTTCATTATGACTTTCTTATTCTTTATATATCTGTGTATTTCAGGCTATAACAAGATTGATGGCTATATTTTTAAGTGGTCATAGAATATGGCAAAAGTAACGATTTTTGCACTACAATGCATGGTAGAATGTGAAATGGGAAGAGGAAAACACAGTAAATATGAAGAAAATTGAAAATAAAAAGTCCGTGTTCATGGAGTATTAACAAGTATCATAATTATTGATATTTACAAGAATTGTTAAATGAATGACTACCAACTGCAAAACAAGCATCATAATGATGATGAAGTAGCAATGATCTGTAGCAATCATCAAAATTCTGGAAACAAGATCCTTGGAAGGGTCAGTTTTCATCGTGTAAATGAGATCTGTTGTCATTGTGATAAATGTATTGCAGCTGATCTTTCATTTGAACATTTCTTGTAAATATGAAACGTTATTTTTTGCATATATTTGTAATTAAAACAACTGTTCATTCTCCATATTCTTCCTACCTGCTGTGTTTCGGTGTTTATATTTCACATTTGACCTTGCAGGATATTAAAAAAAAAATTTTTATTTTGCCGAGTTCTGTCACTCCTTAATGCTGTGATGATAAACCTGCTATAATAAAAGCTAATTCATTTGACAAAATAGTGGCCATAGTTTCTAGCATGTAATTAGGCTTTGGGCCCTGTTGTTATGCATATGCATGTGTTATATATATGTGAGTGTTTAAAAAGATTGCACAATTAAGTATCTCTTGAACTCATTATCCTTGTTTAAGAAGTGAAACAACTTTCTTGGCTATGGTGTTTGGCCAGTTTCTAGCATGTATTATTAGGGTTTAGGCCTTGTTGTTATACATATGTATATGTTATATAGGGTGATTCTAAATTTTTTTTGCAAATTAAGAGGGGTGATAGTACTCATCCAGATGAACAATAATTACCATTGACCATAAGGTTGCATTCCACTCTGAGAGGTAGAAAAGAGGAATATTAGAATTCCAACCTGAACTTATAACAGTGTTGGAAGAGCGAACAAACGAGTCCAAAAGTTGCACAATCAGTTTAGTGAAAAACTCACAGAGAGTGCACAAAGGGATAAAACCGAAAAATTGGCTTTTGAGTGTTAATTCAAGTTCAGACTTTGATGGCAAACACTCAAATGCACATCTTTGGTTGGCAAGGTATCAACCTCGCAATTATCTAAATTATTAGTTGCAACAAGTTAATTATCTAAATTATTAGGGGGAAATTATCTGTTAGAGGAAAAAACTGGTGGTAGCAATTCCCCCCCCTTCACCATCTTCTGTCCTGTCCTCCTGGACTTGCTGTGCTTTCATTCTACTTGAAGCACTTTTCTATGGGACACGAAGTTCTGACAGTGGGAACACAGCATGACCTTTTCATGCTAATCTCAGCATACAGCGGAAGTTGGAATTAGTTGATAATATTTCGCCCTTGATTAGTTAATTAACTTGTTGCAATTATTTGCAAGGCTGACACCTTGCCAACCAAATATATACATTTGAGTGTTTGCCATCAAAGTCTGAGCTCAAATTAACACTTGAGTGCCAAGTTTTCGGTTTTATCCATTTTGTGCACTCTCTGTGAGTTTTTTTCACTAAACCGATTGTGCAGCCTCGTTCATTCGCTCTCCCAACACTTGTAAGTTCAGGTTGGAATTCTAATATTCCTTTTTTCTGCCTCTCAGAGTGGAATGCACCCTTTTTTATATGGTAATTATTGCTCATCTGGATGAGTACTATCACCCCTCTTAATTTGTAAAAACAATTTAGAATCACTCTGTATATATGTGAATGTTTAAAAAGATTGCACAATTATATATCTCTTGAACCCATTATCCTTGTTTAAGAAGTGAAACGACTTTCTTGGCTATGGTAATGTGTGTGGTCATGTGACCTTTTCTAGTAGAAATGTGTAACATTTAAATTTTTATATGATCTAGTTGCAGGCAAAATTCCACTATGTAAGTTGTGGTTTATCCAAATAAAAGTCTTTTAGAAAAATAAAATAGAAATTGTTCCATAATATGCAAAGCTGAAGAATTCAAGGTTTGAATTCTCGAAATTTTGAGTTTAGGTTCCGAATTGGCTGTCATCAACATTATGCAAGCTATGTGACATAAATTAATCTAGAAATGGCACAGTCCAGAAAAGTTATCATTTTTAGAATACAGAGAGGAAATATGCTAATTAGGAATGAGGAATTAAAAGGTAATTAGTCATTATTCAAATGCTCATTATAGTCATAGGCCTAAATTAATGACTAATCTTTCAGGAGATATTCAAGCTTTCTGAAATACATTGTATATACAATAGGATTCATAAGCTCAAAAGAAACTGAGTCATAATTTCTAATTTTTTATTATTAAAAAATGTAAGTTTTTCCATCTTTAAATTTTTTTATAGCAATTAACTTGTGAATGGCTGTACTTCAATCATGTAGTACCAGTGAATCTGCTCAGTATACATTATCTCCTGAACAGCCAGTCCTAAACTTTCAGATCGTACAAATATATGTAAGTGGATGGAGAGTTAGAAACTGCAGCCATGAGTTTTTAAGTGATAAGAGTTATACTACTGAAACATATTCATTTCCAAAATAAGACTCTTTCAAAGCAACACACTTCTGCTAATGCTTATATAAATCTTTAAAGCCCACTTGTGACCCATTATCCCCATTCTTAAAGTTGATGTTATTCCTAATACAGTCAAAAGTTGTTAATCCGGACTCGTCGGGACTTCGGCAATTCCGGATTATCGATTTTTCCGGATTATAGATCATCAGTTTAAATCTGGTAAGATGGCATGCAAAAATTATAAAATTAAAAATATGAAACCGTAATTTATGAAATAAAGAACAAATTATGATCTAAAGGGTATCAAAATTTACAAAAAGAAAAAGCTTAATATTTATTTGTTTACTTTATTAAACATTTCTTTCAATGTAAGTTGTTTAAGTTCTTTCGTTTCATGTGATAATACTTTTCCTTTAATTCTATTAAACAGACATAATTTCTTGTTTAGTTACAAAGTTCCGCTGTTCAAGTCCTATAATTGCTGCGTGGAGAATACCGACTAATTTGTCAATCGAAATTTTTTCGTTTTCAATAACTTGTGTGTCACTTTCTTCACTACCAGAAGCAAATTATAATGACGAGGAACTTGATTTAAATCATATCAAAGACGGAGTACATCGACATGAAATACTACATTTAGTAAGAAATTATAAGCCAAATAAAATAAAAACATCTGCCCTGAAGATAAGGATAGTGCTGACAGATCAACTTCCAATTCATTGCATGCCACGATGTTCCCCCCCCCCCGCACCCCACCAAAGCGTGAAATTGATAAACAGATTTCGGATTTCGAAACATACTTTCGCTTTGTAGATCCTTTACATATCAGTAAATATATATTGGAAATTCTATTTGACATAATCGAAAGTTCAAGCTTACTTTTATAAAATTGCTGTAACAGTCAGCAAAAAATAATAAGCCGGATCCAATTCAAAGATTAAGGATCAACGCAATCTGCAACATTAACTGGATTAGATAATTTTATCTTAGCTTATACTGTTTGTTATACATTAAACGCGCATGTGTAAACGTATTATGCGCATGCGCACATGTATATTCGCAGCCGTAAAGGTCTTACGCGCATGCGTCAATACGATGCATGCGCAGAAAGTTTGTAGCTTTGAGGTCCGGATTATGGGTGTCCGAATTAACCACTTTTGACTGTAACAACTTTAGGCTTTGGCTGTTCTTCAGATGTCCTTTATTCAACCAACTTTGTAAATCTGAGCTCTTCTATATTCCAGAACTGATGTCTCATAAGTCAGCATACCATCTTAAGAAGCAGCATAGAGCGAGATCAGACAAGAGTTGTATGGAAGGATAAAATTGCTTGTTTTAGCAAGAAAATCAGTAACTAGAAGTGACTTTTGAGCAAAATTGCTTTGTGTGATAGATAATTACTGATGCATACAAATTAGAAGGTAAGATTTGATATGAAACAGTATCTCTGATGTCAAAAAGCACCTATGGCATAATCTTACCTTTGCTGTGATTTTATGAAACCTTTTCTTGGATGATGCCCATTTGCTATGTGGATTGAATAGAAAGCATTACTTTTCATTTCTTATGATTTCTCTAAGTTCCTGAGAGGTTTTGTCAGTGGTAACTATAATACTATTTGCAATTTCCATACACAGAGCAAGCTTATTTTTCAATAATGCACATGGGACCATGTTTTGACTGATCTAGAACAAAGATCATGTGCTACTATCAATTTTCATGTTATCATTGATTTCTTTGCCTTGATGACCATTTTCTAAATCTTTTGTTAGGTATGGCAACATGTGAAATGTTTTCTTCATTTTGTATCAGTGCTGGGAATCTTTCCTAATTGCCTTTGACACATTCTGTAAAACTGTCAGAAATACCAATAACTTTTGAGCCGCTTGGAGTGTTTTTACATAAATCTGCTTCGGCATTTCAAAGGTTACTATTGAGCATTATTCAGATACATATCTTAAATTTTCAGACTATTTATAGTGCAGTAATTGTAAAATTCTATATGATTTTAAAATATTTTTATGGTTTTTAAGTTATTTAAGTATTTAATTTAGTAATGAATAATTAATTATTAACTGCTCTAAAGCAAAATGATTGATGGAAAATACTTTGGGTTTAGATTGTGTTAATAATATTTGCTTATCATAATTTTGTATTTGTCATAATTTTGCTAAAGTTTTATCTTACAAGCTAATTTAAGTAGTGTGTGTGTGAAACACCTCATATTTGAATTATTTTAATGTTTTTGCTAGGTACTACTGTGAAAAATGCTCGATGCAAGAATGCCACTATTTCAGAAGTCATGAAGATTATTCAGCTGTGGCTACAACATTCACCAGATCGTTTAAAACTAGCAGGAAAAATTTAAGGTTAGATTTTTTACATATCTGAAAAGAAAAGCTAAATATAATTATTTGTTAAGTTTGATATTAAAAACATGTAAGAATCACTATCAGTTTTAAATGATTTTATGTTGTAAGTATTGCCCTTTTTAGGAGAGAATATTATTTTTAAATTTTTAAATGAAAATCGGAGAAAATCAATAATATCTAATAAACAATGCTCATTATCTTTTGGTTAAGTTTAGATGTTATGTTTTGTACATCATAATTCTTTTCTGAATTTCTCCTAATGTTTGTAGGCAGAAATGTTTAAACACTGGTTATTATTTTTTTCCATGGATAATAATTGTGGCTAATTATCTCATTGTGTACTGTTTTATCTTTAGTAGATAAGGTATTTCTTGCACTGAATTTCTTTACAATTCATGTTTTTATGTTTTCCAAGGAAAAAAAATATTTAAAATTTTTGTTTCATTTAAGGATGAATGCAGGATAAGCATTCATTCTGAAGTATTCACCAGTATGCAAAAGTAACTACAGAAAGGGGGTGGGGAATGAAACTGTAATCGAAAGTCATACTTAATGTTAATTTGACAAGATGCTCACAATGTATATTATTGGCATTTTAATTGAAATTAATAATAACAAAAGAATTTCTGTTGTATTTATGAAATTGAAGTAAATGGAATTTTGATTTCATTGATTCTTTTATGATGTTTGCTGTGAATAAGACTTTTAGCTGTTTTAATTTATCTAATACATATTAAAATTATTAGGTAATGTAAGACTGCTAAGTTGTGCTACTAAATTAAATTATATATATAGTATGTATAATATATCACAATTTCATGTGCCTTGTAAAAATGAAGCATATTTATTGAATAATTTTTAGATTTAATGAAGAATTATGGATACCACATCGAAATTTCCATTACAAATTTCTTTCCCCCTCTTTGAATATTGGGTACTGTGTACATCTGTTATGAAATCATACATGAAAATTTACTGTTTCAAAATACATTTGTACAGTTTTTCTGTGATAAATTAAATTTCATTCTTATTTCTGATTGCATTCATGGCTGCTGGTCTGTTCATGTGATTCTTCAATACTTTTCAGTTTGATATGGAAGTCAAATATTTTAAATGCTGTGTATTTTTATAAGCAATGTTGATTTGTTATGAAATGATATCAATGTCTGTGTGATAAATTCAATAAAATTGTTGCTCACAAACACCATAAACTATATTCATTTATATTTTATTATGGGACAAAAATTTTACCAAAATATTTTCTTTATGTCTAAAAATGAGATTTTAAATATACATGGTCTGTGCTTCATCTTCCTTGTCAGTGAAATTAGTTAAAGAAGTATACATGTTAGCTATGATATTAATAAAACATCTCATCTGTATAATATGAAATATATTTTTTTCATAGGATGAGTGTTAATGTGTGTTAAACACTTTTCATATTAATGATTTTCAAGGTAAGGTTTACTGCAGTCAACACATTTCACACATTTCATCAAATATATATATATGTAAAATATAAAAAAAAAATACGATGGCTTTGCTCTACACAAACACGCAACCTCCAATTAACTTTCTGCAATTTAGGATCTTCCCCCTAATATCACAATTTCCATATATAGTACAAAGTCTATAATCCGGACCTCACAAACTAACGCATGCTCATAATGTATTTACGCATGCGCGTAAAGCCAGTAAAGTGTTTACCCATGCATGCTTCCGATAGTGAAGAAAGTAACAGAGAACATTATTGAAAATGAAAAAAATTTCGATTGACAAGTTAGTTGGTATTCTCGACACAGCAATTACAGGACTTCAACAGTGGAACTTTGTAACTGAACAAGAAATTATGTCTGTTTATAGAATTAAATAGAAAGTATTAGCACAAAAAACGAAGCAACTTAAACAACTTACATTGATAGAAATGTTTACTAAAGTAAACAAATAAATATTAAGCTCTTTTTTTGTAAATTTTGATACCCTTTAGATCATAATTGCTCTTTATTTCATAAATTATGGTTTCATATTTTTAATTGTATAATTTCTGCATGCCATCTTGCCAGATTTAAATTGATGATCTATAACCCGGTAAAACCCCTAATCCAGAATCGCCAAAGTCCCAACGAGTCCGGATTACGGACTTTGTACTGTATATATATATATATATATATATATATATATGGTAATATGACAGATGTATATACAAGAGTTGGGGCAAAAGTCATGGCAACTATTTTTTTCTTGTAGATATGTGAACGAATCACAAAACGTATATGTGTCGTGTGGAAGTTCTGCAGGCATAGTGCGTATGCAGAACAACAGATGGAACAACAAAGAACTGTGGTAGCGAGGGCTCTGTAATCAATCAGTTGGTGAGTGTCGTGCGAGATGGAAGTAACCCGTGTTGAGCAGCGCGCTTACATCAAAATAGCCGTTCTCCGGGGGAAAAATGCGATGTAATGTCACAGTGAATTAGTAGAAGCCCTTGGGAATAATGCGCTACCATATCATACAGTAGCATGGTGGGTAGGAAAATTTCAGCAAGGACGTGTGTCAACCAGTGATGAGCAACATTCGGGACGACCGGTGAGTGTGCGGTGAACTTGCATGCCGTCATCGAGCACCTCATGGATGAAGACAGACGATGGACGTCTGTCTTCATCCATGAGGTAAGTGGCATCGAGAAACACACTGTCCACAGGATATTGCATAATGAGCTACAGCTATGCAAAATCGTTTCGCGGTGGGTACCGCATGCACTGACGGAAGTTCAAAGGTGGTGCGCTATGCAATATGCTCTGACAACTTTGCACGCTGGCTACAGGACGGGGATCAATTCTTGTCACGAATAATTGCCATGGATGAATTTTGGGCCAAGGCATATGAACCAGAACTGAAACGTCAGTCCCCGGAGTGGCAACATCCTGGATCACCAAGGCAGTAGAAGGTCCGTCAGAATCCTTCTCCAGTCAAATTGATGGTGATCGCCGCGTATGATGTCAGGGGTGTCATTGTTTGTCACTCATGGTAGAACAGTGACCGCACAGTACTACAGGGACTTCCTGGTGTGACAAGTACGACATGGCGTTCGGGATAAATGTCCGGATCTTGTGTAAAATGCAATAATTCTGCACAACAATGCAAGACCACATAAAGTAGAGTGTGTACGGCAGATAGTCCGACATTGGAAATGGGAAGAATTGGATCGCCCATCGTACTCTCCTGACCTTTCGCCCTGTGACTTTGATCTCATTCCCAAGAGTAAGGAATCAATACGTGGTAGGCGGTTTGCAACATGATAGGACATTGCTAATGCTGTGCACCATCAGATGACCTGATTCACACATGGTGTGGCAAATGCTGAGGCTGATGTTATTTAGCGCCTCCCACATCGTTGGCAGCATGTGGTGACAGTAGCAGGGGACTACATTGAGGGTCTTTAGGCCTAGGTTTGTCATGTCAATTTTATGTGTATTGTGTTATCATTCTTTTGCATGGTGAAGGCCATATTGCCCTGTATACTACCGTAATAAATTCGTGTGTTACGATATTTCAGTGCTATTCATTGTCCACACATGTAGTTAAGACCTTGTCCTTTCGTCTGTATATATCACATTTTCCAACTGGACTGGTATTTTCAAGAAAAAAATAGTTGCCATGACTTTTGCCCCAACCTACGTATATGTGTATGAAAAAACTGGGTATTCTCCAAATAGGCAATCTACATTACTTAACTGTGTAGTTACTATACAGATCAATAGGTGGCGCCACTAAAATCATTGTTTTACACATTTTTTCCTTATGCTATTTTATTCAAATTTCCATGATCAGATTTATTATTATTTAGTATTAATGATTTTTTATGTTTCGCAAAATATTTATTTCTTTTGCTGTGTTTTATGCTGCATATAAGGAAACTTTGAGTGAGCAAATAAAAGGGTGAATTTTTTTTTTTTTAAATTAGATTAGCTGGTTTAAATATTTCAATGAATTACTTGATATTAATATAACTAAAAATGAGCCCCTGAATGTTATGGATGCAGATTATATCAAGAATTTTGCGCATATGGTGAATGAAACAGATAAGAGGTAAGAGAAAATACACCTCATTTTGTACTGCTATATTTAGTTATTTCAAAACCTATTTACAAACAATTTGTTGTAGAGTATTAAAAAAAAAAGATAATGAATTTAATAGAGATAAATTAAACACTGTTGCCACTCGAAATAACAGTTATTTCCCTTGTTTATTATTTCACTTCTGTGTAATGTAAATGTGAAAAAAAATTAATTTCTATTTGAGAGTAAATTGATAACAAAGATTTGAAGACAGCATTTTAAAAACTCTTCACAAATTCAATGGAAAAATTGTATGCAAAAGAAATGATAAGCATAAACATTGCTTTTACAAACAAAAGTGTCTGAAAAAGATGTGGCGCCATTTAGTATAAAACTGATTAGCTAACTAATGAAATCCAGTAGATCACCATTTGGGACAATACCAAAAACTGTAATAGATTCTGCAGTTATTTTCAAATATTTCCCAAGATAGTTGGATTAATAAACATATTTGCTACCAAAGAAAAAATTGAATCTTTCTTTGATCTGAATTTTTTAAAAATTCAAAATTTTTATTTGTTCAAATACAAATTCAAGTTATGGCTGTGTACGATAACGGTCTGATTGACAGGTTGTTGATGGCATTTTCTTGGTGCATTTATAGGCTTAATTTTGTATTTAACTCTAAAATCTATCTTTGATTAAAATCTAGTTAAAATTATATCCTATAGTTCTTAATCATAATTTCAACGTATTTCTGTATATAATAGTGCCCTATTTTAGATGGAATCTGCTGCAAATTAAACATTGTTTTGTTTGAATCCCCCCCTTAATCAGCATTTGATCACAATGCAGATCTATAACAAAACCATTGATTCTGCCTGATTTTGATGTTCTATGAAGGTAGTTGCGTGAAGGAGGTGATGCTCAGTCTGTGGTGGCTGCCGTTCAGTAGCATTATATAAACAAAATTTCAACAGAATTGTTTAAATATGTTTAAAATATTTAATAATAGAACACTTTTCTTTACTTACATAATTACATATAAAACAAACTTATGATTTGATTAATTGCATAACGTTTTCCACTAGTGATTATAATCTTCATTAACTTGGACAATAATTCATTGAAAATAACTCCAGTTGAAGTGTGGCAGGTTTATAAAATAAATGAAAAACACAGCATATCAGTTTTAGGCAGTTATACACAGGTTGCTGAAACTAATTTTATAAAAACTTCCACATTCATTCATGACTAGACAAATAGCAGTTTATACGTCCATTCTTTTGTTTACACGAAACAGATACTTTCTTACAGTCTAAAAAAATGTGGTGGTATTTCGATTCCTGGAATTTTACGATCTTAAAACTTTCAGAACAGTTATTATTTAAACAAAATATGTATGGAAGTTGTTCAAATAATATTTTTAGAAAGATGACCATGTATATGATGTTTGCAATTTCAGCTTTCAAAATGTTTTTTCTTAGCATTTTACTCGTAGATTTCCATTCATTTAACTGTCTTATGGCTTTACCTTGATACATCTCAGAATTAAAATGTGTAGATTTTTAATAAACACTCTCACATATGATTTAATAAGCATATACGCAATGACTGCACTGCTTATGTGAATAACCTTCTGTTAAGTATCTGAAAGGAAATTCACGTTTAGAAACTTCCCAGTATTCTATTAAGCTCTATTCACATTCAACAACATTTGAGGCAAGTCTGAGTGAGATATAGCTTTTTCTTCTAACGTTCAGAACAATTGAAGAAACAACAATTGTAATAGTTCACTCGCGTGAGAAAGATTCTCCTACAGAGTGCTGCCACTTAGCTCTAGCTTCTAATTCAACCCACTGAATACAGATAGTAATTTTACTCAAAAATAAAGTTGTAAGAAAAATTCCGGGTAGCTAGCTTCGAGTTGCGCACAATTGTTGCTGATGAACCCTTTAGATCTCTTCAAGAATCTCAGTCTTATAGATCCGTCATGTGGCCCGTATATTCTCGTCTAGGTTTATTGGGTGGAAATGTCTGGACAATGTTCTCTGCCGCAGTGGTTAATTCTTTCTCTAAATTATCTGTTTCTGTAATGTCAGGTAATGAGACTGTAGTTAGTTTTGTGTCATTAGGGCTTTGTGTAGTTGCCAAAATTGTGTCAATAAATTCTTCATTTTCTTCTTTAATTGTCTGCACGGCTGAATCTTTCTCGTCTGTTCTGCATAGTTCATATTTTGTAGTTTTGCCATTTGTAGATCTAAGAGAGCTGAACATGACTTTAATATCCTGCTTAGTCCAGCTATTAGATACACCTTCGTGGCTGTCATCCCTTCCGTCGCTTTGCTCCTCCTGAAAATAAAAATAAGGAACATTTTAAATTCTCAAGTATTATAAATCATATGGCAAATAAATCTCTGATTCTGTATAAATTTAATTTCAAAATACATAATTTCTTTAATAGAAAAGCATACCTATATAATCAGTAAGTCCATAAAAGTTACTACGATAAATTTATCAACTCTACAGTTTTATTTCATTACAAATATTATTGGCATTTTTGGAAATTTGATATTCATTTCAAATGCTGGAATTCTCTCTTTTCCTTTCTCGCATAACACACAGTGTATCCACAAAAGTTCTTACTGGGCCTTACGCATACAATCAAATATTAAAAACCCCAATTAGAGAACAAAGAACAGAATCAAAATATTAGAATATTTGAATGTCATTGAAACGTTATTATTAGTTGATAAAAAAATCTCTATACATCAGTCAATCAATATAATATGAGCTTCAGTCAATCAATACAATACGTTAGTTTTATCCAATGATTCAAAATACAAATTTTGATAACGCATAGAACCAAGTGGTTGAAAACTAATTGGATATCCTCTTGATAAAAATGTCTTAGAGATACGAGTTAAATATTATACAAATTAAAGATTAATTTCCATTTTCAGACTTTAAATTAAATTCATTTATCATCTTGTGGCTAAAAAACATTGTATTTGCAAAAATATCACAACTCTACTAAAAAGCGTGTACATTTTTAGAATGCTGTGTATTTCCTTCAGTTGATTTTTGAAAATTGTACAAAAGATGCCATTTAATATGATCGTGGTTAGTTTTAGCATTCTAGATATTGTTATCAGTTTGCCAAAATCTCGCCCATGTGTATACAAAAACATGAAAAATATATTGCTTCTCGTGATCAACAATTCAGTTAATATTGTTGTGTTCTACAAGTTCATGGATTTGGAGTAATTGATGTTAACAATTGATGAAGAATCAAAACACAATGTATTCGCCAGTAAGCTTTATTACACAGGACAGTTCCAAAGACACATTTACACTCATCGAAAAGCTATGACAAACACGCTGAAACAATCAGCAACATGGCCTTCAGGCTATAAGAAGACAGCTTCACAGCAAACCACTAAAGTACAGCACTTGACTTGGTCAGTCGCTGCCAAGCTCGGAACTCAAGACACATCTTTCTCCCATACATGTAAACCTTAACCTACCTTTGAGAATATTTCGAGAAAATTGCTAAAAATGTGTTCTATAATTCTCTGACTTTGTCTGTGACATATCACCAATTTAGTCGCCAAATCTGGCAACTCTATGTCTGCCATTGACTCATGCTGCTTAGCCGGAAGAATTCTTTCTCCACTTCCCTGGAGAAGCTATGTTTTCGACATGCTTTGCGGGAAAGCTATCTTACCATGCAGTCGCGGGGCATTTCCCAACAGTGATATTTATAACAACATGACAAACATTCAAGAGATTCCATTCAATAAGATTTTCATGCATATTTAACGTTCTGTATGAGCATAATATCTTGGGCCACCAGTGATGCTTGGATCTTATTTCGCATATGATAGGATGGAACCATGGAGGAAAACTAAATCTATCTTTAACCTACCTTTGAGAATATTCCAGAGAAAAACCGCTAAAAATGTGTTCTAGAATGTTCTCACTCTGTCTATAGGACATATTGTTAATTTTGTCGCCAGATGGGTGATTGTGCACCAAATCTGGAAACCCTTACCTGCCATTGACTCATGATACTCAGCCACATACTTCTTTTTCCACTCTGCCAGAGGAGCTTCGTTTTCGACCCTCCTTGTGGGGAAGCACATAAGCAAAATGTACACTACTAGGACAACAGCTTGAATTTGGTCAGTGACAAACCAGATAACTGTCACCATTAACTCCGCCTACAATGATGATGTCACTAGACCTGAAATTTGCTTTACTGACATTTTTCATAGCAGTTTTGTTTTTTTTTTTTTTAGTTTGCAGTTATGACCTTTGTTTTGAAAATTACCGCCACTGAACTTCCTGATTCATTTGAAAATGAGGTAGTGGAACCATTAGATGACACTGTTACAATAAGAAATAATTTGAAAATTATGGAATTATGGAAGATATCAACAAATGGATATGAAAATTTGCTCAGAAAACAAATACTCAATGGAAAACCAGAACTTCAAATCCAAATTGTGAACATCTTTATTTGTTCATAAGTACATAATCATTATTTATTCATTTCCTTATTTTCACAAATTTAAGCATGCCTAAATCATTATGCTATTGTTACATAATATATTGTGGCTTAATTTGCATAATTATCTAACAATTATGATTATATATAATTGTAACTTATTGGATTAAGATATGATTAAGTAATTTAGCAATAAACAGATTAAGCTTTTAACTTATAATTAATATTTAAATTTATTTAAATATTAATATATTAAAAATAAGTTTTCTATATAAAAGAATGTTTTGTTTTTACTTATGTTTAAAATGACAGTGTCAGGGAATATTTTTTCTAAAGTAAGGATCTTGTTTAGTTATGTTCGTAATGAGTAACTTAACTTGAAAAGATTATCTTACTAATTTTGTTTAAGACAGTTCTTTTAGTTTAAATAGACTAATATCATTCTATTAATTTAGTATTGTTCGAGACTTATGGTCTAGCTGCACCAGAAAAATAATTTAGTCCTTACTTGGAAAAAGACAAAACACTCTCACTTATTTTAGTTACTATTAATTGATAGTATATTGGTTTATTCTTCTTGACAAGACAATTAATTTACAGTCAATGACATTAACTACTTTTTCAGTACAGTGGAACCTTGAGAAACGAGTTGTTTCACATTGAGCTCATATAGCAAATTTCTCGTATCTAGAAACAAACTTCCCCATTGAAAACAACAGTAATCCAGTTAATCCATTCTGCACCCCCAAAAATATCAACATATAAATCAATTTTCCTAATAAATAACACTGGTAAATAATACCTGGTGTTTTTTTTTTTTTTTTTTTTTTTTTTTTTTAGAAGGCCCAGGTACAAATTCTTAGCCATAGTGCAAATGATAGCTTCCGACACCGAATTGCCTTTTAAGTGCTTCTCATTAATCCACATCAACAAAAGCTTCTCAACATCTTCTAGGAGTTTTGGACGGTGCCTGGATATAACAGTAACTCCTTTGGCCACATCAAGTTTCTTAACTTCTTTCTTCTTCTTCAGAATAATGCAGATCATCGATGTCCAGCAGCCGTAAGTCGTTGCCAATTCCGTCACTCTTACACCACATTTATGTTATCTATGATTCCTTTCTTATTTTCAGTGGCCATGGCTTCCTTTTTTTCTTTGCAGCACTATCTGAGCTAACAATCTTTTTGGGAGGCATGGCAAAGTAATTATTTTCATGTTAAATGTAAAAAATAATTAGCTTACAAGCGCACAGATTCTTAGATCAAAGAATGCTGAGTGATCCGACAAGGGAATTCCCCAAGTCGGGCCGGATTGAGAAACGCGCCATGCATGCCAACACTACTCGTTACTCGAGTCAGTACTCGTATTTAGAGACGAATTTTTCGCTGATACTTTCCTTGGATCTTGGATTTCTCATATATAGAGGTGCTATCTCAAGGTTCCACTGTACTTGAAATTTTCACTCGTTTTGTGTTTACTGTTTTTTGTGTTTTTCCAATTTAGGGTTTTTCTTTGTTGATTTTTAATGATTTTTACTGCAATAGAGGTCTAGATAATACTAATTAAAGTACTGACATTTTTTTTCTTCTCATAATTCATGGTTTTATTTTAATTTCTGTTCCTTGGAGACAATATAAGAAAAACTTTTTCTAGGAATAAATTATATATATATAACAATAAATTTTTTATTTATGTTTAAAATATATAACTTTATAATTTTATTTATTAATAATGATTAATAACAAAATTTTAATTATTATTATGTACAATATATTGATGTTTGTTAATAATGATTTATAATTTATAATAATTTATTAATATTTTTATCTTATTTTATCTTCAATAAATTAATATAAAATCTGTATTTTTTTCCTTTAATTAACATTACTGATCGCTGGGAATTGCAGAAACTAAAGAAACTTAAACTGATAATCCCAATATTTTCAGAAAGCAATTTGCATCATAGTTCTCACAGGAAAATTGGTAGAAAAATGAGCTGAAACTGTGACTCAAAAAGTGCAGATTGTAAAGCTTTTGTGAAAATAATGATGAAGAAATACATAAGCTATGTAAGATGCAAGGATAAATTTGCCAGAGTAAGTTACGTATAGATTTAAGTTAGCTTTAAGTTTCTCTCATCCATAGCCAACTGACAAATGAAAAACTGTGACTTCCTTACATGCATTTTTAATAAAAATATGTCAATTGCAAGAGCACTTGGACAATCTTGTCTTTTTGAGGAGCAAAAATGTTTTGCTTTTTGCTTCTTCAAAATGTCATGCTTTTTACATTGCCATGTTTCTGTTCCATTTGATATAAAAGCAGACTTAAATTTATATTAACCTACTTTATCTTACTGTAGTTTTATGCATATAAAAGTCAGGTTGTTTCATAATTTGTGTTTTGTTTACTTTTATAATACATACATATATGTGTGAGTGTATAAGTACATATTTCTTACAATAACACTACTCAATCATCTGCCTGGAAAAACATCAGTAAGCTTGTTTGGGAAGCATTTTTTTAATAAAGCAGTGATAATTAGGTATTGTATTTCACCATACATTGCCCTTCTCACTTGGCATACATAGTCCATTCTCACCAACTGACTGGATCAAATTTTCAGTGAAGGATTTACGTATAAGCTACACAAGCTATATAGCTTAGGGAGCCCGCTTCAGGCATGAAAGTGCCCCCCCCAAAAAAAATTAATAAAATATCAACCTTTTAATAGAAAAAGTATTAAACATATACATATAATTAAACTAAAGTAATACTTGTACTTACTATTTTGCTATTAATTTTATCTTCCACTTGTAAAAAAATATTTAAAAAAATCAGTAAATCACCAAGAGATTGTAATGAATTAACCTTCTTTAAGATGCTCTTTATGTAACTTAATTTAACAGTTGATACATGAATACTGTACACAACATTACAACACCTAATATACATATTTATGTTACATATTACTGCCCATTTTCAGGCAATGAAAAGTTTTAGAGATAATATATATTGGCTCAATCCTGATTAAAAAATTTTAGGGAAAAAGCTTTTTCTTTTTTGCTACTTTTGCAGCCAACTTTTCTAATTTCTGTTTGCGAGCTAGTCTCAATTTCTTTTCAGCAGCTTTTATACAATCCATTGATACTTTTTTATTTTCTGCAATGTTTAATTGCTTTTTTTTTTTTTTTTTAGATTCTCGCTCCTCCTTTTTTATCTCTAGCTCTTCTTTGTACAGTTTATGAGCATTCCTTAAATTTTTACATAGAGTTTTGTGTACTGGAGAATGCAAGTGGTCATCCCTTTTAAAAAATTCCAGAGCTGACTTATTGCAACTCAAAAATTTGTATTTTACTGTTTGTATAGCAGACAATGTGTCTATACTCATGCGGCCACACTCCTTGTCTAACACACTGCTCATAGAACTAAAAGCACTCTCAACTTGTGGCCCATGGAAACAACTTAAAATAGCTTTTACCATTTTGGATAAAGCTGGATAACTGCCATCTGCAAATACTTTGGCCCACCACTCATCAAGTCTCATTATTTTTCCATCTATATTTAATGGTGAAGCTAATTTTTTATCAATTTGGTATTTATGCACTTCTAAATTATATGAAATTTTGTCTTCTTGTGTCAAAACATTCTGGATTAATTCAGGCAATCTTTTTAACTTAAGCAGGGTACTATGGTGATCTCTGGCTGTAGGATCAATTCCTGATATGCTTTTTAATAATGGGTTGTTCATTGGCAAAGTCTCCCTCTGGCTGTAGGATCAATTCCTGATATGCTTTTTAATAATGGGTTGTTCATTGGCAAAGTCTTCTGCAGATATTTTGCACAGCTGATGAAAGCTTCAGTGGAATTTTTAAAAAATTCTTTAACATATGTTTCCCTAAATCTTTTTGAAATAAGTGCAATTGTAGCTGCTCCTAAATACATATTCTTTGGGGATAAAAGATGAAATTCATCTGCAATATCTAAAGTCAAAATTTCTGAGATAGATTTATTTTGGAGAAATTCTGACTTAATAAACAGTGCTAAAAAATCGATAGCTGCTTCTGCTCATCATGCAATTTATGTATTAAAGGCTCTTCTATTTGAAATAGACAAACATACTTTTTTAATAATGGCAATACAGACACATAAAATGGGTAATTAATTGCAGTTTTTTCCTGTCATAAAATAATTTTGAAATTATTCTCTTTTTTTTTTCGTTTCCTCCCATGATTTGTCAAATGCTTTTGCTGTAAATACCTGTGGATATCCTTAATACGTTCTCTGCTTTCATTGCTCAGATTTCTTTGTTTATAGATACTGCAACATATATTAAAATACAATAATCTGTCATGCTGATTTAAAAATCCATAATAAAAAATTGTTAAACAATCAAACATGAGTAAATTACTCAATGTAGCATCATATATGGACAGCCAGCGGTGTTTAATAAAATGTTCAATAGCAGTATATTTGACATTTTAAATCACACATATTTCCTCTAATTTTTCTTTTAAATCAACAGATAAGTTAAAATCATTATATATATCTCGCAGGTAATCTTCTACCCACCAAGTGGTTTAGATAATACCTTGGATGCATTATGTATATGATGGCAAAAATCTCCATCAATATCTAACAAATGAGGAGCCTTCTCATTATGAACACCTAATAATAATAAACTCGTAATGAGAAGGCTCCTCATTCTAATCCAGACTTTGATCCTCTCATTATATTGCAAGAATCCATCAAAACAGACATGAGATTCTCAAATGGCAGCTGATTTTTGTCAAAAAGAGACACATTTTTTTGAAAGAGTTGTTCAGCAGACACATAAAAACATTAACAGATATTAAATATGCTTCGACCAACTACTTTATTGTGTTCTGTAGAAAAGTAGCTGGCTAATATGCACAAAACTCTCATTTCGATTACTACTTGTAAGCTTCATCAATATTTAATGAAAATTTAAACTTTTTCAAATTGTTCACAGTTTCATTGAGAAATGTTTTTGAGAGGTCTAATCTCATTTTATATGAAGCAGTAGTGCGAGCCATTGAGAGCTGTGATAGTGCCTTCTTATCAGATGCCATTGCTTTGGCCAAATCAATTATCACAGGTGCTACAGTATAAGGCAAATTATATTCAGCCATAACTCCAAGCAGTTGACCCTCTAAGGTGGAAACTCGATCACAAATTGGAATACTTGGAGCTGCTAATTTTTCTTCTATTTTTCTCTCCTGAATGCTGTCTGTGTCTGTCAAAGATGAATATGATGATGGTATCCTGTAATTATCTCTTTTCACTACTTCTCTCCCACAATGTTTTTTGCTTTTAATATGGCTGCTAATAGCAACATATCCCCTTTTTCCATAATATATTAGATCAGAACACAATGCACACTTCACTTTTTCACTGATATCCACTTTCTGAATGCAACTGCCAACGACCACTTCCATTTTTTGTCCATTCACATGAATTTTTACGAAGTTTTTCAGCCATGCAAATCTGAACTTATTTTTTTTCTTCACTATCTATACACCGAGCTTTGTGCTTATGATTCGGATTTAAGATATTCATACTGAAAAACTTACAGCAAGAAACAAAAAAGCAATAACATAACGATCTATGCTCTGAATTACAGTATGCCACTTTACACACGCTAAAACTGGCACATGCTCTGGATAACATCAGTAGGGTATCCGTATGTCCGACAGATGGCGCCAGCACCAATCACTGAAATTATTGAAATCAGCTCTCCTTTGACGGTCGCTTGCTCTTCTTTGATTCAATATTCGTACACATCTAGTTCTGCCTTTCCACATAAGCCCCACCTACTTTGCCTTCATGTGAAACAACGCATTTTGCGATTTCTGGCATGATGTACCCTTTTTTTTTTACAAAGAAAAGAGGAAGAGAGAGAGCATGTCCTCCGTTTACCCCCCCACACACACACACACACACACATTTGTCGGTCGCGATTTCTCAATGGTCTGCATCGATCTCAGAAACAGCCCGGGTGACGTTCAAAAAAGCGGAATTCCGTGAAAACGCGAAAAACTTTCATGCCTGCCGCTTTCTTGTGGCCCCCCAAAAACCCTCTAGGTATCAAAAAATCATATTTGGCACTGACATATAATAGCTGGACTTATAAAGGGCCCCATATCTCAAATAGCTTAGGGCCTTATCAAGCTTAAATCTGGCTCTGCTAATTTTGTATTGGAGCAGTAGAATAATCCTTAATATTCCAAAACAAACATTGAATCGTTTTACATATATACAAAAAATACGATGGCTTTGCTGTACACGAACAGGCAACCTCTAAGTAACTTTCCGCAATTTCAGGATCTTCTCCCTAGAGCAGTGCTTTCGAGAACATTCGGGCATGTTACGTAACCGCTGCTATAAACGAAGAGTTTGCACCATTTTTCCAGACTGACTGCACCCTGCCATCGTTGCCAAAAGACCTTGCCATCCTCTGTTGCTTCTTCTTCCCTTTGTTAGAATAGTTATGAAGTTGAAAGCTTAAATTGAACATTATTTTAATTTAAATCATTGTTGGATATTTAGTTTTGGAGAACTTGAAAGAATAATGATCTGCCATTTGCATTGAATAAAGATATGTCGCTATAAAGTTAAATTCTTCTGTGTCTTCAATTCTGATGTTTTCCACTCCGCCATGACCACACCTGTACTCTGATGTGACCTGATTGCTAAGCTCCATTATTTCCAATGCCGATCTACTGAAAATATTATATATATATATATTGATTCCAAAAAACTAAATGCACATTCAAAGAACGCACTTTGCAACGCGCAACAGCAGAATGTAAACAAATGTTTAGTATTGTGACATCATTCATGTGGATAGAGTTAATGGTGACCCTCATTTGACCTGTCATTGGCCAAATGCAAGTCATTGTCCTAGCAGTGTACATTTTGCTTATAAGCTGTGGGGAAAGCCTGTCTCACCGGTCAGCTGCTGGGCATTTCACAACAGTATGATCTAGCTCATGCGGAAGGGGGGTGGGGGAAAGGAAACAATAACTGAAATAAAGTCATCAAATAAAAGATAAACTTTCCAAATAAAGTCGAA